ACAAGAGCGAAACTCCATCTAAAAAAAAAAAAAAAATTATCCGGACATGTGGTGCATGTCTGTAATCCCAGCTTCTGGGGGCGGGGGTGTTAAGGCAGGAGAATCGCTTGAACCCAGGAGGCAGCGGTTGCAGTGAGCCGAGATCGTGCCATTGCACTCTAGCCTGGGCGACAAGAGTGAAACTCCGTCTCAAAAACAAACAAAACAAAACAAACAAAAAATGGTGGCTCACGCCTGTAATCCCAGCACTTTGGGGGGCTGAAGCAGGTGAATCACAAGGTCAAGAGTTCAAGACCAGCCTGGCCAACATGGTGAAACCCTGTCCCTACTAAAAATACAAAAATTAGCCGGGCGAGGTGGCTCTTGCCTGTAATCTTAGGTACTAGGGAGGCTGCGGCAAGAGAATCGCTTGAACCCGGGCGGCAGAGGTTGCAGTGAGCCAAGACAGTGCCACTGCACTCCAGCCTGGGCAAGAGTGAAACTCCGTCTCAAAAAATAAATAAAAATAAAATAAAAATAAAAAATAATAGAAATGTCAAAAAATTTCAAGGAATCTCCTCTACTGTTCAAACCACGGGAACTATCTGTGGTTGGGTGGGTTCAAGGCTGCATTAGTTAAAAGCGCGCCACAGTCCCACTACTGGGGATGATAAGGAGGGAGGATTTTTTTTTTTTTTTTAACTCCCCAGAGTTTAAAACCAACTGGGCAACAAAGCCAGACCCCATAGCTTTTTTTTCTATCCATTTATTTATTTATTTTTACTATGCAAATCTCACTACACGGACCCTATAACTTAAAGGCCCTTATTCTGCCCTGTACTCAGCTATCTCAGGCAGGAAACAGAATAATCTGAAAACCTGGTGCCAGAGGAAGTAAACATAGTGGCCAGGGATCAGAAGCTGTGGGGGACCTAAGAAGTATTCATTCTACAAGTATCAGTTCCTTCCTCTTGAGAAAAATACTGGGCTTAACCACGCCTTCCTGAGTCCATCATTAAGACTCCCGCAGCTTTCCACTGGAGTCCTGGAGCCCAGAGCCCGGTTTCTCCTACCGGGTGCGCTGGAGACGGGCTGCTCCTGACAGAAGGAACCCCCTGAGAGCAGCCCAGAAACCAGCGCACTTGTGCGGCCTCGGAAGAAGGCGGGGCTCTAGGAGACGGAGGCGACGCCTGGAATCCAATGAGAAGGGAGCGGATGGAGAGGAGGGGCTAGCCAAAATCCCTTAAAATAAGACCCAGCTGTAAACGGAACTCTAGTCGCCTACCTCCAGCTCTTCCTTTGGGTTTGCGGTTGTGCTCTGGTCTCCTGCAGGGCCGGCAGCAGCATGGACACTCCCAGACGGTTTCCGACGCTCGTGCAACTGATGCAGCCAAAAGCAATGTCATTCGAGGTGCTCGGTCAGCTCCCCAAGCAGTTCGGGTTCCACCCTGATTTTCTGAAGAATCCGAAGGTAGTTCGCCTTGAGGTTTGGCTGGTGGAAAAGATCTTCGGTGAGCGGACTAGGGACGGGTAACCCCCATGCGGCTTCTTTCTGCCCCCATACCTACACCCGACATGTTCTGGCCGTGTTCCAGGGCAAACCACCCCAGTAGCCAATGTCCTCTGGCTGTCTCCTCCTTCCAACTTCCTCTCCCAAGACCCCTGGGAGCTACCTGTCCCTCACAGCCTCTCTGCTCCCGGCGCAGGCAGGGGCGGAGAGCGCATCCCGCAAGTCCAGGGTCTGTCCCAAATCCTGATTCACGTGAATCACTTGGACCCCAGAGGCGAGTCTGAGATCTTGATATTTGGGAGGCCTTCTTACCAGGAGGACACAATCAAGATGATCATGAACTTGGCTGACTATCACCGCCAGCTCCAGGCGAAAGGTACGAGGTTGGGAAAAGGGCTACCTGGAGCAAATCCTGGCTCCGTAGGAGTGATCCTGGGGTTTTCTGGCTGCTGGGGCGGCAGTTTCGCCCTCCCAGTCGGCCCACAGTTGGTGAGTGAGGGAGGGGGCGGTTCTGGTCGCCACGGATCGAGAAGGCCAAATTAAACCTACGTTCTGGAATTCCCGGCTCCTACTCCCGCAGGCCGCATGGGTGACTGTCCTTTTTTAGAGAGGATATAGGGATACAGCTGTGGCCTCTGCACACTCTTCTTTCAGGCTCAGGAAAGGCCCTCGCCCAGGATGTAGCCACTCAGAAGGCCGAAACCCAGCGGTCTTCAATAGAAGTCCGGGAAGCCGGGACCCAGCGTTCGATAGAGGTTCGGGAGGCCGGGACCCAGCGTTCGGTGGAGGTCCGGGAGGCCGGGACACAGGGTTCTCCCGTGGAGGTGCGGGAGGCCGGGACCCAGCGATCTCCCGAAGCTGCCAGCAAGGCATGGACCCAGTGGTTTTAGGAGGATGCCCAGGACCCAGTTACTAGGTTATGAAGGCATTTCGGGCCCTGGAACCAGAGCCAGTCAGGGGTTAAGTGGAAGCCCGATACACTTAATCCCCAGAAGGTGGGGTTGGGGGTGGGGAAATGATGATGTGAATTGCTTTTGTTTTACTCCTTCTGTTGAATGGTTGCAAACACAAACTTGAGTTCTAATAAAGAATTGCATTTCCCTAACGTCTTTTTTTTGGAAGGTAGAGGGGAGGGAATGCCCATTCCTATGTCAGCCCAATTCTGCCCTGCGCCGCTCTCTACCTCGAGGCAGGTGGGACCTCGGGTTCTTAGCCGCCCAAGGTCGCAATCTAACCCGGCTGCGCTTGGATGTGCCCCTTGTGCTCCTTAACCGCACTCATCTGGCTTACCCAGGTGAGAAGCCTCTCGGGCACACTAGGAAATCTCTCCAATCCCGCTCTGGTTCTACTCAAGGTGACTTGGGATGAGAAAATCGGGTCGCTTGGGGCTCAGCTGGATTTGGAAAGCCCTGGGTGTATTGCAACTCTGCCACATACCACTTTCCCAGCTGGGGAAAATGACATCGGGGAAGGAGGAAACAGAGAACCGAGCTGCGCTCTCGGGCTGCACTGTTCCGTTGCAGTTTTCAGGTCTTGCTTGGGTCACCGACTTTGCACCAAGGTCGTGGACACCAAGATGCAGGCATCGGCTACTCTTTCCTCAGTTACTATGGCAGCGAAGAGTCCCAGCAGAGAACACTTTGGCTTCCCTCGGGTCACAGCTCTGGTTGGGGCGCTGAGATGGTTTTGCGAATTAATCTAGGAGGATGCAAGCCAACAGCTGGGTGCTAGGATTAAACAACAGCACGCAGTGATT